GAGAGGCGGGGCGGTGGCGCCTCCTCGGTTACGCTGTGGCGGAGGACACCACGGGCAGCAGGGCCTCGGGCAGAATGCAACAGCTTGTCGAAGGGAAGACGGTGACGCCACGTAAGGGAGGAAGGATGTACGTGATGTGCTTACGTAAGGTGACGCAAGGCGATCCGGGACGCCATTGGCTGCTGCGGCTGGCGAAGGAGGAGGGTGAGAAAGTGGCTCCGCCTACTGGTCTTTCTGGGCTCAGTTTGCCTTGGCCGGCGCCAGCCGAGGCCACTGTCGCCTCCGTGTCCCTTCGTGCCGTGGGGACGCTCGGAGCGTGACGTCGTCCGGCCGCGCCTAGCCATGGGCCTGATACTCGCCAAGCTGTGGAGTTTCTTCTGTGACCTAGGTGAGCGGCATCCACCGAGGCGGGGCTCCGCCGGCTTGGGGCAGCTGCGGGTCCGTTGGGAGGCTGCCAGGGAGCCGGGCTGGGATGGGGCCGCTAGAGTCAGCCGCTGGTCAGTTTCAGCAGCGGCTGAATTGGGACACCTGGGGAAGAGCAGCTGGAGTGCTGCCGGGTTGGTCCCGCAGAGCCACCCCTCGGCACTGCGGGACCAACCCGGCATGGCACTGTGGGACCAACCCGGCATGGCACTGTGGGACCAACCCGGCAGCACTCCAGCTGCTCTTCCCCAGGTGTCCCCAAGAGCATCTGGGGTGCTGCTGTGTTGGTCCCGTGGCCTTGAGGGGCAGCGCTATGGGACCGACCTGGCAGCACCCCAGCTGCTCTGCCCCCGGCTTCCCTGATTCAGCTGCTAATCAGTGCTGAGACAATACATGGCACAACACTTTCCTATCTTGACACCAGATCACCTTGCAACAGAGTACCTAAACAGAAAGGGACACTTTTCAACACCAGTGTGGGATGCTCTGAGAACACAGGCCTGTTCAGAAAGCTGCAAGCAGGGACTTTCTTTCTGGACCTCAAAATCAGACTATTTGATTAGTTGATAAGAGCGCTGCCACCTTTGAACTGTAGCAAGAGCCTCTTGTACATTTCAAAAGCAGAAGCCCCACTGGGAGAGCCTGGCCTGGGTCTCTTTCCCCTTGACTTCTGGCCAATGGAAGGGACCTGGGGTTGCCTGGGGTGGAGGCTTAGAATTCACAGCTTGCAGCTCCTGGCTCCCTCTATTAACCTGTTGCCTGGAAGCTGCCTGGTAGGCACAAGCCCTTTGAATAGAAGCAGTTGAACCTAGGCAGCTCCGAGGCAATGGGTTGGTGGGACCGAGAGCTCCGAGCCCTTTCAGTTACTTCTGTTTAAAGGGTCCGAGCCCTTTAAACAGAAGAAGTTGTAAGGGCTTGAGCATCACTAGCTTCCTAGCAATGTGATAGAAGTACCGAGAGCTGCGAGCCCTTTTAATCGTTTCTAGTTAAAGGGCTCTCATGTTCCCTGTGGCTGCCAGGCAACACATTACCCGACAAGGGTGGGAAAGGCATGAGCCCTTTAAATAGAAGCAGTTAGAAGGGCTTGCACATCTCCAGCTCCCAAGAAATGGAGCTGGCCCGCTGAGAGGCTCGTGCCCACCCATGGGCTATGTCTACACTGGCAGCTTCCTGTGTAAGTACATCTTGTGAAAGAAGTCTTGTGCAAGAAAACATCCACGCTGCCATGTGTGAGCTGTGCTTTTGCGCAAGAGCGCCCATGGCAGTGTGGATGCTCTCTTGTGTAAGAAAGCTCTGATGGCCATTTTAGCCATAGGGCATTCTTGCGCAAGAAATTCCTGCCAAGCGTCCACGCTGCCCTCTTGCGCAAGAGGGCTTACACCTGTTTAAAAAGAGCATAGCTCTTGTGCAAGAAACCCTCTTTTACCACTCTGTACTGTAAATTTCCTTGCGCAAGAGCAGGTGGCCACTGTGGACTCTGCAGATTCTTGCGCAAGAACGGTCATACTTGCGCAAAAAGCCGCAAGTGTAGACCTAGCCTTGGTGTAGTGTGTGGTGGTCAGAGATTGGAATTCCCCCTCTCAAACTGCAAGCCTTGGAAGGGGTGGCTTGCTTTATAGATCTGAGTCTTGAATTATATACCGTACAGTCTTCATATTCAGTTTAACTTCTCAAATAAAATATACAAGAAATTTCATATTCTGGCACAAATTCATATCATTTTCATGCAAAATAAACGTATCTAAAACATTTGTCCTAAGTACATTGGCAGAACTAAGGTTGTACGACCAATGTGGGGTCTTCATTTTCTAATGCCTACATTTTGTATCAATACTACTCTTTTGCACAAAACAATTATTTTTAATAATAATTTCTCATATAAAATAAAACATTATAGTGGAGTTAACTTATGTCCCTTGTAAGTATAAAAGATCTTTCTGGAAAAAAATACTGTTTTGTGGGTTTTTTAGTTGGGAGATTTCCATACTATGTGCAGTCTGTTCACCTAAAACAGGCAAGGCAGCCTTGCCTTTTTTATAGCAGAAAAGTTGTTAATAGATGGCTAATAGTTTACCTTTTTGTGTGTGTGTGTATAGAACACAAAGTAATAATAGTGGGACTTGACAACGCAGGAAAGACCACCATTCTTTACCAGTTGTAAGTATATGAGCTATTTAAAACTTCTGTTTGATACTTACATTCACATGTAATTTATAAGAACGGCCATACTGGGTCTGACCAATGATCCATCAAGCCCAGTATCCTGTCGGCAAACAATGGCCAATGCCAGGTACTCCAGAAGGAGGGAACACAACAGGTAACCCTCACATGATACCCATTTCCAGACAAAAACTCTAACAGAAAACTCTGGAGATCCCAGAGCTTAGCTTGTCCAGGGAAGGTATTTGTCTTTCAGTAATACTCAAGTTTTGTGTGTACAATAATAAAATAGATAAAAGTGTTGAATTGATTAGAGCTGAGCTTCATGTTAATCGGATACACAGCATAGAGTGCTCTCACGGACAAAGAATTCTGCAGTTGAGACCTTTGGTAACTGGAAAGTGATGTAAATTTGTATCTGCATTTATTTTTAGTCAGTTTTCAAAAGTCACATAGTGTCCATTATTTCTGAAACAGAAAAAATTGTCATTCTCTTTCCTCCCTCTGTGCTTCCTCCCCCCCTCAAAGTTATGACTGGTGGAACTAACAGTTTCTTCAGAATAATATTTCATCATGCTGCCATGGCTCCTGCAAATAAATGTCTGGGGGTCTGATGATGTCACTCTATGGCTATGTCTACACTACCGGGTTATTTCAGAATAAGTTATTTTGAAATATTGAGTCCTGAAATAACTATTTCAAAATAAGCTTATTCCTCTTCACAAGCAGGAGTTAATTCACAATAGCAAGCCTCTTCTTTCAAAATAACGGGCTTGAGAGGGTATGTCTACACTGCGGAGCTATTTCAGGATACTGGAATTATCTCGAAATAGCTATTTCGCATCTATTGAAGCAAACCAATATTTCGAAATACTGTAGTTTTCAAAATAACGGCCGGCTTATTCTAACATCCCAGTAACCTTCATGGGGATTAAGAGTTTCAGAATAGTGAGTTATTTCAAAATTTGGTGCTGTGTAGATGCATAGCGCAAATTGTGTACCTTATTTTGAGCTAAGGGTGCTGTATAGATGCATCCATAGTGTGGATGCTCACCTAGTTATTTCGAAATAAGGGGAGTTATTCGAAATAGCTTCCTAGTGTAGATAAGCCATATTTAAAAACACTATTCCCTGCCTCACAAGAGTGAGTAAAGGATAAATCTGTAAATACTTGGGAGGCACACAATTACTACAAAGATGGAAGTGGTATATAAATTTAGATAAAAAGAAATAAAGATTGTTTCCCTGACAGCTTTTTCTTCTGTACACTTCACTGACAAAAAAACCCCAACCAAACATTGTTGCTTTCTGAAGCTGTTGTGAAGTCAGACAATTGTTATATTTTTCCAGGTGCTTTGACAACTATATTTTCAGATTATTCTAGCAAGATTCAAAAATACTGTCTGTAGTGCTGACCTGTTGGGTCATAGAAATTTCTTTTTAAGGAGTACATTTTTTAGATGGCTATTAATATTAACAAAAAGTTAGTATGATTTAAGCTTCACTTTTCTGTACTGTATGCAGATGTGTAATTGCACACATACTTATTCCTATCTACGATATTTGCAATTCCTAATGCAGGTAAAAAGGCAGACTCTTCACTCGTTGATTGTAACTCATAAAATCCACCCAAATTGAATACATCTTTCACACAGAAAATGCCTTTATATATTGTATCTTTAATTTTAAAAAATTGATTAGTAGACTGTTTTAAATAATTGCTTTAAAGGAATGAAAGGTTTTACTATTCTTCGATAACAAATTTGTCACAATATACAGCTGATCCATCAAAGTTTCAGGATTTTGCTAAATAGTTTTTGTGGTGTGATGTTGTTTCCATTAGCTTAATGAATGAAGTGGTCCATACATCTCCAACCATAGGAAGCAATGTTGAAGAAATAGTAGTAAAAAATACCCATTTCCTTATGTGGGATATTGGAGGACAGGAATCATTGCGGTCATCGTGGAATACCTATTATTCAAATACAGAGGTATGTTAAGTTACTCTCAGACTACAAAATAAAGGAAATAAATATAGACTTTAGGCCTGGTAGCTTTGGTGGAGATATTTGCTCATATGCAAGGACAGAATTTAGGCCCACGTGTAGTAGGTGATACAAAACTAAAATTGCTTACCAACAATGACTTGTTTATACTACTCATATGCTATACACTGAAATATAAGCATGTTTATATTCCAGTTGATTTATTTTACAATTACATAGTAAAAATAAGAAAGTAAGTATTTTTTTTCAGTAAGCATGCTGAAAGTAAGCATGCTGTGACATGTTTTTATTTCTGGTTTTGTATGCAAGTAGTTTTTAAGTGAGGTGAGACTTGGAGATACACAAGACAAATCAGACCCCTGAAAGCGTACAGTACTCTGATAAAGTTGAGAGCCACAGTTTCAGAGGAACAAAAGTTGTGTATCAAGAGAACCAAATAAATCTTAATGTAATTTACCTCCAGACCTAGCTCTGCAAGTCTGAATATGTGTATTAGTGTAGATACTGCAAGATCAGAAGATATTTTATTTAAAAAAAAAACACAAGACAAATCAGACCCCTGAAAGCGTACAGTACTCTGATAAAGTTGAGAGCCACAGTTTCAGAGGAACAAAAGTTGTGTATCAAGAGAACCAAATAAATCTTAATGTAATTTACCTCCAGACCTAGCTCTGCAAGTCTGAATATGTGTATTAGTGTAGATACTGCAAGATCAGAAGATATTTTATTTAAAAAAAAAATTGAAATTTGGGAGGGTAGCCTAATTTTACTCTGTCGGGTAGCCTAATCTACATGCCTCTGGCTTGCTAAGGCGCTCTGCAATTAATTACTGCAGTTGAAACTAAGATACATTATGTATATGTTTAGAATGTCTTGTAATTAACCTCCACATAAACAGATGCTAGATGTGGGATGCTAGGTTCTAAGGCAAAAAAATGGGATCGGTTGGCACACCGCCAGTTTCCTGGTAATACATAGAATACTTTTTCTTCCTACTCTAGACAAATATTTGTCTTCTGGGATTAAACCATACATTTGAGCCTGCCATTACAGCTTGTATTTTAGTTCATCATTCTTGTTGTTGACATGAGTTTTGTTTTGTTCAGCACAGATTCTATGTGAAACTGTTTTCTAATTTATTTGAGAAAAGTAAGAACAACGTGTATACCACATTTTCCCCACAGTGGCTTTTGCTGGCAGAGAGTATGCTAATGAAGCGCTCAATAGCATTTGTCACGCTGTCATTTGCATATTCTCTTCTGATGCTTTTTGCACAGTGTAGACGGGTCCCTTTTTGCCAAAAAAATCCCTTTTGCACAAGATTCTTATGCCTCAAAAAAGGAGGCATAAGGTCTTCCGCAAAAGGGATTTTTTTCACAAAAAAGATCCATCTACACTACTTGCTTTTTGCGCAAGAGGTTTTTGTGTAAAAACATCAGCAAAGAATATGCAAATGACAGCATGACACATGCTAATGAGAACTTCATTAGCATACTCTGCTGGCAAAAGCCTGCAGTGAAGACATAGCCTGGATGCAAAACTTAGTTAGGGATGGAGACTGTTAATGAATGGTTTAGCATAGAAAGCAATGACAGTGGTGAAAAAAGGACAAAGGTTTTGCTATGCAGCACTGTACACAAATGGTGAGCAGCTGCTGCATAGGGTTAAGTGCTGCCTGTCTTGTTTCAAAAGTCAGCTGATGCTGCTAACAAAGTGATACAGATTGCTCTTCTCCCTTTCAAGAAATTGCAGTCACTGCAAAACATTCCAAGACTTAAAGGGGTTGGAATTTGGGAAAAGAGCCTGGATCTGATTAAGATTATCCCAAATGAAAACATGAAATCACTTAGCCAGTTTGCCTTTTACCAAGAATTTCACACAGGGGAGCCCCTATAATGTATTGTTTCTTTTGTGTTCAAATGGGACATTTTTCCAAGTGCATGTCGTTTATAGTAAAGATGACACATTACTATAGTACGATGGCTGCTAATCACAATGTGAAGGTCAAGTATAATACAACACAATGTGAAAGTGCCATTGTGTAGTTGCATTTTTCATTCACATTTTGAAGAATTGTCTAGAAGGTTCTTTTACAGTTGTGGTCCATGTCTATAGATGATGAACAGTTTATCAAGCAGACATTCTGCTCTTCAGTGTTATGATAACATCTATTAGCATTATGTCCCATGCAGTTTTATTTGTGCGACTCTAATCTATGACTCTTTAGCCTTATGTAATCACAATTGTAATGTGTAGGTATAACTAAGTTTAATCTTAATGAACAGTTTTAAAAATAGTCCCAGTTTAAGGCTTGTCTAGCTGGTTTGTCAGGGTGGTAAAAAACATTTTACTCAATAAAAGCCACCTCTGGAAAATATTATTTCATCTCTGGTTTCAGAGTCTAGATCGGTTGACTTGGAGCTTGTGTTTCAGGGCTAAATAATGTTGTAGATCCTGTGGAGACTAGGCTCTGAAACCCAGTAAGCCTTCAACCAGAGCGGAAAGGTCTACACTGCTATTATTAGTCCTAAAGGTTATATTTGCTACGTTCTTCTTATTTCCATAAATGTAACAAAAAAGATCTTACCTAGGAATTTCTCATCTCATTTATCTGATGTGTTGATTAAGGAAATCTAAGTCAGTTGTGCATAAAGAACATTTAGTAATCCATGTCTCTTGCAAAGGTCAGACTACAAAAATACATATGTGGAGCCTTGTCTACACGTAGTCTGAGCAAACCTTTTTGTTTTATTTTCCCTAGTTCATCATTCTTGTTGTTGACAGCATTGACAGAGAACGACTTTCTATTACAAAAGAAGAACTTTACAGAATGTTGGCTCACGAGGTATATTTAAACTCAATAGTACAATATATTTTGATTATAGGTTTCCTTTTTTGTTAGCACCCAAATAATTATAACCATAAAGACTAAACCGTTTACATGGCAAAGTTGTTAATGTTAGCATAGGTATTGATGTACATTAACTGTGCTTTTTAAAAATTTTAGATTGTCGGTGTCTAGACAAGAACAGTCAGGATATCATGAAAAATACATGCTCCATGTTCTAACACTCTTAGGAGGGTTCATTCTATTGTAACAAGGTAGCAGTTTCTTTTATAAAAGTTATACAGATTATAAAGTAGTTTTTATATGTTTAACTTCATGCTTTGTGACTTGAACTGTTTTTCCTTACTCTGTCTTACCACTACAGCTAAAAAATTTTGAAGAAGCTTGAAAGCTTCTAAAACCATCTTTTAGATATTAATTTTCATTACTGCTTTCATCCTATTAATGTAAAGAATCATAAATAGCGTTATAAATGGTTAATCTTTGGATTATGCTTATTTCCCATCTGATCTAACTGAAATTGTGTTTAACTGAAATTTTGGCTCGACACAGTACTCCAATGTTATCTGATTATTAATCTGCTTCTAAAAATGAAAATAAATTGTCTTTAAATGGCTTGTTGTATAAAAATAATTTTAGCTCTGGGACTGGGGTGTGTGTGAAAATATATTATAAATAGATACAAAGAAGCCTTTTATTCTAATCTTCTCCGTATTTTCAAAATGGATCCCAATGTACAAACACTTGTTCACATACTACCACAGTGCTGGGGGAAAGGACTAGATGACCTATCAAGGTACCTTTTGAGCTCTATATTTCCATGATTCTAAGAAGTCTTAGCTCATGTGAATTGTCCTGATTACTGACTTCATTCAGACTAAAGTTAGCACTACTTGTGAGAGAATGGATATGCAGCTCTGGACTTTAACTTTGCTTTTGTTTCTTTAAAGCACCCAGATATAGAAATGGATCTTCACTAACCCTAGCAGATTAATCGGTATTGAACTCTTAAAATTTGACCTACTGGTTTCTTGGTTATGAAATGTCTGTCTTTCCCCTATCCTGCTCCAAAAAGTTTAGTGTTCCTATTTTTGTTGCCTTAGGTACATGGAATGTTTAGTCAAAATTCTAAATGTCTCACCTCTATTTTAGCATTGCTACTAATAATTGCTTGCCTGGCAAAAGTGACAAATTAAGTGATTTTTATTAAATTATGAAGTATAGTTTCTTTCCTGTTCTAATAAAATTGCTTATCATTTAATTGTATTAAAAATACCAAAAAACTCCACCTAGAGTAGTAATTTTAACTGACTGATAGCATATTATTTTCTTCAACCCTGTCATCTCGCTCAAAGATTTCCAGAATGTTCCTCCCATAGTAATCTAATTGGCTGCACATACTGAACTGCTTTAGAAAATATATCCTTTATCGTATCTTTAGGTTAGTCATCAGTGAATGTGGCAAGACCAAAGGACCAAGAAGTGAAGTAAACCTTAATTCAGTGCCTGAGGAATGCTAGTTAGAACACCTTCCTCTATAAATCATTGTTTGTCTCCTACTATAATTTTATCTTATTTGTTGCAATAAGCCTCTCAAATTTAAATGTCACTGCATAATTTTTATTTAGAATGACTTGACTGTAACTGGAAAAATAGCTAACATTCGATAACATTTTAGATTGGTTTTTATCTTAACTTTGGCATCCCCTTAAGTACAGTAAATATTCTGTTTTATTTCCAGGATTTACGGAAGGCTGCAGTTCTCATCTTTGCAAATAAGCAGGACATGAAAGGTTGTATGACAGCTGCTGAAATATCTAAATACCTCACCCTTAGTTCTATAAAGGATCACCCATGGCACATTCAATCCTGCTGTGCTTTGACAGGAGAAGGGTATGTGTCCAGTAATAGGTATCTAAGTTCAGTAATGTAAAATAAATGGAAAACTGTGTATGACTTAGGACATGGGTTCCCAAACTGGGGGTGTGCCCCCCTCTGGAGGGCATGAAGAAATTCCAGGGGGGATGCAAGGCGACCCAACCCCCCACACACCCGTCAATCCCATCCCAAGTTTTGTTGCTATTTTTTGGGGGGGGGTTCTCAAAAATCAAAAAGGGGGCATGATGCCAAATGTTTGGGAACCACTGACTTAGAAGCTCGGTGGCACTGGGCTAGATTTTCTGAAGTTAGATTTTTCCTATTCTTACCTTTCTAGACATAACGACGCTTTAAGCGTATCCTTTCCCTTCACTGACTTTTGGATTTTCCTTACAGCTGAGCCTTCCAGCTTTAACTGATAGGATGTTTCAGCCATTCACAAGAATGATGCTCTATACACTTGAGGCTAGTCCATTCGTTCTTACTATGTGGACTGGCAGTAGAACAGGCAGTCACCGACTTACACAGATCTGACTTATGTCGGATCCGCACTTACGAACGGGGCTTTCTCTCCCCGGAGCTCACAGGCAGCGGTCAGCCACCTTGAACTCCGGGGCGAGAAAAGCTGCTCCCGGTGCCCCTGGTCTGCTGGGGACCGTCTCCAGCAGACCAGGGACACTGCGAGCGAACCCGCAGCAGCGGGGGGTCCCCCGCTTCTGAGGCGTTGCTCTGGCAAAGCCTCAGAAGCGCGGGGACCCCGCCGCGGCTGCGGGGTTGCTCCCCGGGGC